GATAGTGAAGAGAGAGATGATGAGAGATTAAGTGAGAGGAGTGAGTGTGAGAGAAATAGTGGGATTTGGGGAGCGGGAAAGAGAGAGGAGAGGTAAGAGCAGAGAAAGACATTGAGAAAATGGTGGAGTTATTTTCATTTTAAAAACGGTATCACTTTGCACGACGAACAATATTGTTGGTCGTGAATACTGGAATATTGGTCTCGCAAAGTTTTGCGCGACCAATATTATTATATTGGTCGCGTAAAGTCAAAAAAAAAAAAAATCCCGCGTCCCATTTTTGGTACCCGCCCAAATTTTGAAATTTTTGCGTGACGAAAAATACATCTTGGTCGCGCAAAGTCTAAAAAAATTATATAAAAAAATTCCCGTGTCCCATTTTTGGTACCCGCCAAATTTTTGCGCGACGGAAAATATATATTGGTCGCGCAAAGTTTTGAGCGACACAAAATATTGGTCGCGCAAAGTCTAAATTTTTTTTTTTTTAAAGTCCCGCGTCCCAGTTTTGGTACCCGCCCAAATTTTTAGAGTTTTTTTTTGCGCCGCTCTGTGGGTGGCTCGCAGACGAAAAATTAGTTCGTAGCACGATATTTATAAAAATAATTTTGTTATGAATAACAAAAAATAAATTTTTTTTTTACGATTTAAAATATAAATAAGGTTAAAGTTACTTAATAAATGTATACACCAATTTCTTAAGTGTTACACATACAAAATAAATAAATTTAAAGCTAATTAATAAGTAAATAAATAAATATATATATATATACACACACACACACCATTCAACGATCCAACCGTCAGACTTGTTTGTATATACTTCAACATTGTATACCCCAAAAATTGCAAAAAAAAAACTTTTGGAGACCCAGTAACGGAACAAAAAATTTCAACGGTTCTAAATGAAAAATCACGATTTAACGGTTATTTTAACTCCGATTTTGATGATTTTTTACAGCTACACTCCTTGACCTTATATGAATACAATGAACTAATTCGATCGTCAATTTAAAATATTTACACTAGTGGATACCACAAAATTTTATGTTATA